CATTGTCGCCTATCAGTGCCATGTATCAGTGTCGCCTTTCAGTGATGTCTGTCAATGCCCATCAGTGCAACCTACCAGTGCCTCCTCATCAGTGCCCATCAGTGCTACCTATCAGTGTCCATCCGTGCAGCCTATCAGTGTCCATCACTGCAGCCTCATTAGCGCACATCAGTGAAGGAGAAAAATCACTTATTTACAAAATTGTATAACAAAAACTAAGAATTTTTTTTTTTTTTTTTCCAAAATTTGTGGTTTTTGGTTTGTTTAAAAAAAATAAAAATCCCAGAGGTGATTAAATACCACCAAAAGAAAGCTATATCTGTCTAAAAAAACAAATTATAAAAATGTCATATGGGTACAGTGTTGCATGACCGCGCAATTGTCATTCAAAGTGTGACAGCGCTGAAAGCTGGAAATTGGCCTGGGCAGGAAGGGGGTATAAGTGCCCTGTAGGCTAGTGGTTAATAGCAAAAAATAAAAATAGGTTGTTTTTTTCCGAAAGAAAGCTCTATTTGTGGGAGAAAAAGGACGTAAATTTCATTTGGGTGCAGCGGTGCATGACCGCGCAATTGTCAGTTAAAATAACGCAGCGCCGTATTGCAAAAAATGGCCTGGTCAGGAAGAAGGGTAAATCCTCTGGAGGGCAAGTAGTTAAAGCCCAACTCCAGGCACAATGTAAAACAGTAAAATATTTGCCTTAAAAGCAGCCCCATTTCTTGCAGATCTGCTTGTTTAGATGCAGGGAATTGGTACAGCTCTCACTATACATCCAGAATGTGTAAGTGTTGCAGATCTTGTAGAACCCAGCCCTGTGGTAATGTCTTCATCCCCGTGGTCATGTCTTCATGCCCGTCATCTCCTGGCCAGTCACAAAGCACACAGGGACAAAACTTGAGCTGGCCATAGATGTATTGAAATTTGGCTGATGCAGCAGGGAACTGCCAAATTTCTGTCCATTTTTGATTGATCCTGCTAGAAAGAATTCATTCTAACGATCTGCTTCTCTCAAGTAGGAATGATGGCAATTTTTAATTCGACCATTGAATTCTGCCAGCAGAGTAGTCCCGCTGTCAGAATTCATTAGCACAGCAGGGAGGATTCCTTCATCCACCTCTAATGGGTGGATGGTGGGAATTTTTTTTTTTGCCTTAAATCAGCCAGCTGTTTTGATTAAAAAAAAAAAAAAAATGCCCAGCCTTACAGTCAGTAGGATGTGTCCCCTGTGCTGATTCCTCTTCTGTTAGTGAAAATATTCCTCTGTCCTAAAGCTGTATGGCTTCTATGAATGGCAGAAATGTCATCCATAGTCAGGCTCTCTTGAGGACTCCATGATAGTCATTGGTTGTATTAATCTCCGCCACACGGAAGGAGTATGGCGGGGGGGAGGACTGAGGAAGACTTTCACTAACAGAAGAGGAATTGGCACAAGGAACACATCCTACTGACTGTAAGTTATGTCTGTTGTGCTGATTTTTCTGTTTGTGACTTTGATTGCACCTTAGGCTTTAGTATTAAGTTATGCATTATACTGTGGGTAAAATAATTATGGAGCATGTCACCATTTTTCTAGGTAAATTTATTTCTAAAGGTGCTATTGACATAAAATGTTCACCACATGCTGGTAACAACCTATGCAATCCATACATACAAAGAAACCAGAACAAATAAGTTCAGAAATTAGGTTATGTGTAATAAAAAGGACTGACATAGGGAAAAAGTATTGAACACATGCAAAAAGGCATGGAAAGCCAAAACACCAGCTGAATCGATCAGTAATTAGAAAGCAATCCTGCCCTTTATCAGTGTAAATTATTATCAGCTGGTTCAGTCTCAACTGATGGCTTTTAAAAAGGTATCACACAAGAAACATCTCCCGATGGGTAAAAGCAAGGCGGTCTCTCAAGAGCTTCGCAACCTTATTGTTGTAAAATATACTAATGGCATTGGTTACAGAAGGATTTCTAAACTTCTGAATGTTCCAGTGAACACTGTTGGCCATAATCTGGAAGTGGAAAGAACATTTCACCATACAGCGGCCACGACCAGGGGCTTCTTGCAAGATTTCTGACAGAGGAGTGAAAAGAATTATCAGAAGAGTTGTCCAAGAGCCAAGAACCACTTGTGGAGAGCTTCAGAAAGACCTAGTACAATGGTTTTAAAGAAAACCATAAGCAATCCACTCAACCGCCATGGCCTGTATGCACACTCACCACGCAAGACTCCACTGCTGAAGAAAAAGCATGTTGAAGCTTGTTTATAGTTTGCTGCACAACATTAAGACAAGCCTGTGAAATATTGGGAGAATAGACTCTGGTCAGATGAGACCAAAATTGAACTCTTTGGATGCCATAATACACATCATGTTTGGAGATCAAGTGGCATTGCACATCATCCCAAAAACACCATACCAAGAGTGAAGTGAGGTGGGAACATCATGGTGTGGGGCTGTTTTTCAGCATACGGTACTGGCACACTTCATATCATTGAAGGAAGGATGAACAGAAAAATGTGCAAAGACAATTTTGATAAAAATCTGCTGCCATATACCAGGATGATGAAGATGAAACGAGGGTGGACATTTCAGCAAGACAATCATCCCAAACATAAACCCAAGAAAACTATTAATTGGTTTCAAAGAAAGAAAATGAAAATAAAGTTGCTAGAATGCCACAGCCAATCACCTAACTTGAATCCAACAGATAATCTATGGAAAGAACTAAAGATCAGAGTTCATAGAAGAGGCTCATGGAACCTTCAAGATCTGAAGACCGTTTGTGTGGAAGAATGGGCCAAAATCACACCTGAGCAATGCATATGGCTACTTTCTCCCTACAGGTGTCTTGAAGCTGTCATTGCCAACAAAGGATTTTGTAAGAAGTGTTAAATTTCAGTTAGCATGTTCTTTTTCCTTGTGTCATTCCATTTTATTACACATAACTTAATTTCTGAACTTATTTTTGTTTCTTTGTATGTATGGATTGCATGGGTTGTTACCAACGTGGTGAAAATTTCATGTCAATAGCACTTTTAGAAATAATTTAACGTGTGCAATACTTATTTTACCCGCTGTATATTTTAATTTGTTCCACTTTCTAACCTGCAGTGTTTAACCACTTGCCTACCGGGCACTTATACTCCCTTCCTTACCAGGCCAATTCTCAGCTTTCAGAGCTGTCGCACTTTGAATGACAATTGTGCGGTCATGCAACATTGTACCCATATGAAATCTTTATCATTTTTTTCTCACAAATAGAGCTTTCTTTTGGTGGTATTCACTTGCTGCTGGGTGTTTGCTCTTTTTTTTGTTTATAGCACAAAAAGTAAAACAATTTGTTTCTATTATAAAATTTTGCAAAGGAACTTTTTTTTTTTTTTAAACCGGTACTTTTTCTCCTTCGCTGTGTGCATTGATGAGGCTGAACTGATAGGCAGCACTGATGGGTACTGATAGTTGCCACTGCTGGGCACTGACTGGCGCAACTGCTGGGCACTGACTGGCACTGGTGGGTGGCACTGGTTGACACATTTAGGTGGCAATGCTGGGCACTTGTGGGCGGAACTGGTGGGTGGCACTGCTGGGCACCGATCATCAGGGCACTGATCATCAGTGCCCTGATGATCGGTGCCCATCCCTGCTCTGAAAACTGCTGGTTTTCAGCAGTACTTTCCTCACGCTCTGACAGCGTGAGGAAAGTGCAGCCGACAACCGGCAATTGCATTTCCCGATGATCAGCGTGTCATTGGACACGGCTGATCACGTGGTAATATGACGCCCTCCCAGAACTGGCCGGCCGCAGTGCAGCTGTCATTCGGCAACTAGTTAAAAGTCTTTCTCATAAACAATGGGACTACTTTTTAGTTTAGTTTTTCTGCATTTATAGTATCGACCAACATGCTGTTATTACAGGTGAAACTCAAAAAATTAGAATATTGTGCAAAAGTTCATTTATTTCACTAATGCAACTTAAAAGGTGAATCTAATATATGAGGTAGACTCATTACATGCAAAGCAAGATAGTTCAAGCTGTGATTTGTCATAATTGTGATGATTATAGCTTACATCTCATGAAAACCCCAAATCCAATCTCAGAAAATTAGAATATTGTGAAAAGGTGCAATATTCTAGGTTCAAAGTGTCCCACTCTAATCAGCTAATTAAGCCATAACACTTGCAAAGGGTTCCTGAGCCTTTAAATGGTCTCTCAGTCTGGTTCAGTAGGAATCACAATCATGGGAAAGATTGCTGACCTGACAGTTGTGCAGAAAACATTCATTGACACCCTCCATAAGGAGGGAAAGCCTCAAAAGATAATTGCAAAAGAAGTTGGATGTTTCCAAAGTGCTGTATCAAAGCACATTAATAGAAAGTTATGTGGAAGGGAAAAGTGGGGCAGAAAAAGGTGCACAAGCAGCAGGGATGACCACAGCCTGGAGAGGATTGTCAGGAAAAGGCCATTCAAAAGTGTTGGGGACTTTCACAAGGAGTGGACTGAGGCTGGAGTCAGTGCATCAAGAGCCACCACACACAGACGGATCCTGGACATGGGCTTCAAATGTCCTATGCCTCTTGTCAAGCTGCTCCTGAACAACAAACGTCAAAAGCGTCTTACCTGGGCTAAAGAAAAACAGACTTGGTCTGTTGCTCAGTGGTCCAAAGTCCCCTTTTCTGATGAGAGCAACTTTTGCATCTCATTTGGAGACCAAGGACCCAGAGTATGGAGGAAGAATGGAGAGGCACACACTGCAAGATGCTTGAAGTCCAGTGTGAAGTTTCCGCAGTCTGTGTTGATTTGGGGAGCCATGTCATCTGCTGATGGTCCACTGTGCTTCATTAAGTCCATGGTCAATGCATCCGTCTACCAGAAGATTTTGGAGCCCTTCATGCTTCCTTCCGCAGACGAGCTTTATGGGGATGCTGACTTCATTTTTCAGCAGGATTTGGTACCTGCCCACACTGCCAAAAAATACCTCAGCAGTGCCACAGGCTGATAGCTTCCATGCCACGCCGCATTGAGGCAGTAATTGCTGCAAAAGGGGCCCAAACCAAGTACTGAGTACATATGCATGCTTATACTTTTCAGAGGTCTGATATTGTTCTATGTACAATCCTTGTTTTATTGATTGCATGTAATATTCTAATTTTCTGAGATTGTGGATTTGGGGTTTTCATGAGCTGTAAGCCATAATCATCACAATTATGACAAATCACGGCTTGAACTATCTTGCTTTGCATGTAATGAGTCTATCTCATATATTAGTTTCACCTTTTAAATTGCATTACTGAAATACATGAACTTTTGCACGATATTCTAATTTCTCAAGTTTCACCTGTATTTATAATTTCCTTTGTAATGATACAAAAGTCTACTTTTTCATCACCAATCCTCTGCATAACAAAATACTGTACTAACCATTCTGTGCCATGCCTTCTGCTATCCCATCTAACATTGCCTTTGTAACCTTTATTACTTCCCCACTCCTGGCTCAGCTCTCTAGCAGTTTTAGGTACTTCACTTCTGTTTACAGAAAGCCTGCTCTGTACCTTTCTGATTAGCTGTAATTATTTGTTTCCCCCTACGGTCTAAGTTGTGCTTGGATTTTGACTATTTGTACAAAGAATGTACTTGACGAGATTTTGTGTTTTTGTTTTAAGCTAAGTTCCAACCTACGCCATGTCCGAGTTTTTGAGATGGATGTGGAAGATGATGGAGAAACTGAAGAGGAGGATGCAGAGGAGCAATCTCATGCTCAGGATATTACTGAGGAAGAGGGAGAGTTAAATCCTTCCATATACGACATGAAAGATGCTTCCCCACAAGCTCCTGATGTAACAGAGGAAAGCTTGGAGTCCTGAGCTATGTTTAAAATGCTGTGTTACTGTTTTATAAGTATTGACTCTGAGAGCTAGGGAATAAACTGTAATATTTTGTAATATAGTTTGCATCTGTTTTTCTGGCATATACAGAAAATATAAGCTGGAACCATCCTTGTCAACGATTGCCTTCATATTAGTAAACATTGGGGGGAAGAAAATATATAAAGAGCAATACTATAGGTGAAATGCACAACAGTGATCAATCAAACCGTCTCAAAGGCCATATATAGAAAAAAAGAAATATGGATTGCTGCACATAAAAGAACTTTTAATGTAGAAAAATCACCATACAAAAGAGTGTTGAACACTTGTGTAGGGCTTTGTCCATTTTTGATCAAACAGTATGTTAACGCCGTTCTTCAGATCACATATTAAAGTGAGAAGTACCACTATGATCAATTTATACAGACATCTTAATCGGAATCAGTTATATAATTAACCACAAATTGGATACACAGATAAGCATCCTCTAATAAATGTGGCAGTTTGAGAGTGAAAATTCTATAAAGAAGAAACGTCCCCATATCAAAGATGTGGAATGTAGGCATAAAAAAAACACATTAACCGGTTGCCAACCAGCCACAGAACATATACTGCGGCAGGGCGTCACCACTGCGCAAAATCACGTGTGTATATATAGATATAGATAGATAGGTGGTGCGCATGACCGCGGGTGTCAATCACGGGGTCCCGGCTGGTGATTACCAGCCATCACTGACAGGGAGGACGGCTCTGACAGGGAGGACGGTGTTTACACTGCAGCTCTCCTCCCTGTCAGTTTTCAGCACACTGTTACACACTGATCTGAAAAGCTGAACTCGGCAATCTGGAACAGCGAAGAACACACCCCCTAGTAAAACACCCCCCTCACACAGTTAACCCTTTGCCTCTCATTGTTAACGCCTTCCTCCCCAGTGCCATTAGCACAGTGTTTTTTTTGTTTTGTTTTTTGCACTGTATTGGTGTCACTGGGGATGTCAGTGACCCCAAGTCACCATTATTAGTATAAAAAAAAATAAATTCCAGTATCTATACCGCCATTTGTAGGCGCTATAACTTTCATGTAAACCAATTAATTTACACGTATTGGGATTTTTTTTTTTTTTTTTTTTTTTTTTAAGCAAAGGCATGTCACAGAATACATTTTGCCTAAATTTATGAAGAAATTTGATTCAATTTTTTTTTAATGGACATGTTTTATAGCAAAAAGTCAAAAATACTTTTTTTTTTTTTCTCAAAATTGTCGGGCTTTTTTTTTTATAAATAAAAACGCACAGGCGATCAAATACCACCAAAAGAAAGCTCAATTTGTGGGGAAAAAAGGACGTAAATTTCATTTGGGTGCAGCGCTGCAATATCGCACAATTGTCAGTTAAATTAACGCAGTACCATAACTCAAACCGCTTATGTAACCTCTTCCTGACTGCCCTATAGCAGAAATACTGCTACAGGGTGGCACGGGTGCGCAAAATCACATATGTATATATGTGTGTGTGTGTGTGTGTGATTTATGTGCCCATGGTTTTCACACCCCTCCCAGATAGCGTCAGATTGCCTGTCAGTACATCAGGAATCACATTTAACCCCTTGATTGCCAGGAACAAGCTCATACACAATAAACCTCCATTACTAGTATAGTGTCTGAACAGATCAATGTCTTTGATCAGATCAGCACTATACCAGCGTTCACATTAGTATAGCATCCCCAAAAACGCTGCATTAGCAGGATCAACCATGGCATCTGCCAGAACCTTACTAACTCCCCCCCAGCAAGTACAGTGTCAGTAGGTCACGGTCACTTGATACATTGCACACAAAACTAAAGTGTTCACAGAATCAGGCCTGATCTCTGCTAGCACTTGTCGGTAAATTTTGATGACTCTCATATGCAGCAGAAAGCCAGTACTAGTGCCACACTACCTTTTGATGAACTGGCGAACACCAGCGACCTAATACATCCTGGTCTTTCATATACCTTTTTAGATTGTAAGCTCCAAGGAGCAGGGCCCTCCTAACCCTCAGGTATTGAACTGTATTGTCTCCTGTTAAATTGTAAATCGCTGAGCAAACTTTTGGCACTAAATACAGTGAAGGAAATAAGTATTTGATCATTTGTTTGTGATTGGGCAAACATTCAAAAGCAGCAGGGGATTAGTCTAATAATCGAATGGTAGGTGTATTGTAACACAGAGACATTTCTTTTGAATTTTTTGTTGCTATTCTGTCTAACAAATTATGCACCGATTTGCATGTTCATGAGGGAAATAAGTATTTGATCCCCTTCACAAAACATGACTAAGTACTTGGTGGCAAATACCTTGTTGGCAATCACAGAGGTCAGATGTTTCCTGTAGTTGGCCACCAGGTTTACACACATCTCAGGAGGGATTTTGGCCCACTCCTCTTGGCAGATCCTCTCCAAGTCATTAAGGTTTGGTGGCTGACATTTGGCAACTTGAACTTTTCAGCTCCCTCCACAGATTTTTCAATTGGATTAAGGTCTGGAGACTGGCTAGGCCACTCCAGGACTGTGACGGGAATCACTTTGGGTGGGGGGGTCCATGGAACACAGCCCCCTTTGGAGGGGTGGGGAGACCCCTGTCTCAGCTCCCCATATCCCTATTATGTGTAAGTCACCCTGTGCTTGTTAGGGGTACAGGGTGAAATGTTCTAATATTGGTGTGGGGGTTGTCCATTGTTTACTGCCATGTGGTCCTATTGTTCTATTGGGTGTCCTGCTTGGGAGCACACTATTATGGGATGTATGTGCATAATACAGTGCAGGTAGGGCGGTGGCGCGCCTCGTGCGCACCCCCTACCTGTTTTGCAAAAGTGCTTTTTAAAACGTGCTTTTGCCCAGCCATGCCACCGTATTTCTACAGTGGCTGGGCGGCAAGTGGTTAAGGAAGGAAAGCAGCAAATGATGTACATGCTGGTTACAGTGCATTTCTCTCTGAAATTCTGAGGAAAATGGATCGTTCCAGACATTGTTCAGAAGAACAGCGTACCTTGATTAAAAAGCTGATTGGAGAGGGGAAAACATATAAAGAACTGCAGAAAATGATAGGCTGCTCAGCTAAAATGATTGCAAATGCTTTAAAATGGCAACCAAAACCTGAAAGACATGGAAGAAAGCGAAACACTACCATTGCAATGGATAGAATAGCCAAAATGGCAAGGACTCAGCCAACAATCAGTTCCAGGAAGATCAAAGAAGGTCTAAAGTTACCTGTGAGAACTGTTACAATTAGAAGATGCCTATGTGCAGCCAAGCTATCTGCAAGAAGCCCTTGCAAAGTCCCACTGTCGAAAAAAGACGTGCTGAAGAGGTTACAATTTGCCGAAGAGCACATTGACGCGCCATTTCTCTTTAGGCCAAACATTTTGTGGACTGATGAAAGTAAGATTGTTCTTTTTGGGTCTAGTGGGCGGAGACAGTTTGTCAGATGACCCCCAAACACTAAATTCAAGCCACAGTACACTGTGAAGCATGGTTGCGCAAGCATCATGATATGGGGATGTTTCTCATACTACGGTGTTGGGTCTATTTATATCGCATACCAGGGATCATGGATCAGTTTGAATACATCAGAATACTTGAAGAGGTCATGCTGCCTTATGCTGAAGAGGAAATGCCCTTGAAATGGGTGTTCCAACAAGACAACGACCCCAAACACACCAGTAAACGTGCAACATCTTGGTTCCAGACCAACAAGATTGACGTTATGGAGTGGCCAGCCCAATCCCCGGATCTTAATCCAATAGAAAACTTGTGGGGGTGACATCAAAAATGCAGTTTCTGAGGCAAAACCAAGAAATAGAGAAGAACTGTGGAATGTAGTCCAATCATCCTGGGCTGGAATATCTGTTCACAGGTGCCAGAAGTTGGTTGACTCCATACAACACAGATGTACAGCAGTTCTCAGAAACAGTGGTTCTACAACTAAATATTAAGTGATTCAAAAGGAAAGCAAAATCTTAAAACATTTTTCAGTTTACATAGTGAATGTTTGAGTTTGTAAAGAAGAATACAAACACTGAAGAAAAGTGAATATTAGACTGTTCAAAAAAAAATAGCATTTTTTTTTTTAGAGGAACAACACAAATTTGATATTTTTCGTCATGTTTTGATTTGGAATAGAATGTGTTCTCAATGCATTTGTGTGTATGGAAATAAAAGCTATTAGAAGGATTTTGAGCTTTATTCACTTTTTTCAACACACTATTATTTTGAACACAACTGTACATCCACATTGGAGGAAGGGTTTAGGAATTACAGCTCTTAAGGCTGGCCATATATTATACAATTTTCTTGAGATTTTTGGTTTAGATTTACCAAAAACCATATAATAGGAGGTCAAGTCTAACAACACTTTCAATTGTATCCAATTAGGCAGGCTACATTGTTGAAGGTAAAACTAAAGGAAAGTGGGCAAAAAATGGCCAGCCTAAGAGTAACCATTCCCCTCCCCCCCCCCCCCCCCCCCTTTTTTTTTTTTTCTTCAAGGGACCAAAAGTTATTGGACAATTGAATCAACAGCTATTTCATGGCCAGGCGTTGGCTGCTCCTTTATTACTTTATCAATTAAGCAGGTATAAGGTCTGGAGTTGATTCTAAGTGTGGTATTTACATTTGGAATCTATTGCTGTGAACCTACATCATGCGTTCAAAGGAGTTGTCTATGCAAGTGAAACAGGCCATTGTAAGGCTTCAAAAACTAAACAGCAATATTAGAATGTACCAAACTGTTGATTTGGCCACTCCTGAGGAAAGAAGAATGCACTGGTGAGCTTCGCAACATAAATAGGCATGGACATCCATGGAAGACAACAGTGGTGGATGATCTCAGGATCCTCTCTATGGTAAAGAAAAACCCATTCACAATATCCAGACAAGTGAAGGACACTCACAAGGAGGTGGCCGTATTATTGTCAAAGTCTACAATTGAGAGAAGACTTCACAAGAGCAAATACAGAGGGTTCACCACAAAGTGCAAACCATTCCTGAGCCTGAAGAATAGAAAAGCTAGATTAGACTTTGCAAAAGCATCTAAAAAAGCCAGACCAGTTCTAGAAAACATTCTTTGGATGGATGAAACTAAGATTAATCTGTACCATAAATTTCAGCAAAATGGACTAGCCTGCTGCATCATTTTTTCACTTTAATTTTAAGGGTGTCTTTGATGGAAATGATCAACCTACAGAGGACTGAATTCAAATGATGGGGCATCCTTATGTTCCTAACACATTACCCAGTCCATATCCGTATAGATATCCAGCATGATATTTTCCCCATTGAGATCTGATGCGGTTTCAGTGTTCCTTTAATTTTTTTGAGCAGTGTATATACACACCCACACTGTGATGATCACTGTTCTAGGCAATCATTTTAACTGTCATGAATGGCTTTCATTCATGGTAGCTTTCTTACTACTGTGATTGACTTCAGCTATCCCATTATACAAGGCCGCTGTGAATGGCCTTGTACTATATTATGCTTACAATAGTAAGCAAGCTGTCATGAATGGTTGCCATTCACAACAGTTTTGTTTACAAGTGATTGCTACGATTGTTCATAGTAATCACATGATACAGCGGCTGGGTACCAGTGGACACTGCAGTCACAGGATCATGCACGAGTACAGCAAAGTACAGGTACACTATATTGCCAAAAGTATTGGGACACCTCTCCAAATCATTGGATTCAGGTGTTCCAATCACCTCCTTGGCCACACATGTATAAAATAAAGCACCTAGCCATGCAGACTGCTTCTGCAAATATTTGTGAAAGAATGGGTCACTCTCAGGAGCCAAGTGAATTCAAGTGCGGTACCATGATAGGTTGCCACCTGTGCTACTTAACATTCCATGGTCAACTGTTAGTGGTTTTGTAACAAAGTGCAAGCAACGGGGAACAACAGAAACTCAGCCACCAAGTGGTAAGACATGTACAATGACAGAATGGGGTGAGCACATCCTGAAACGCACAGTGAGCAGAAGTCACCAACTGTATGCAGAGTCAATAGGTAAAGACCTCCAAACTTTGTGTGGCCTTCAGGTTACCACAACAATGCATAGAGAGCTTCATGGGATGGGTTTCCATGGCCAAACAGGTGCATCCAAGCCCACCAAGTGCAATGAAAAGCGTCGGATGCAGTGGTGTAAAGCACACCGCCACTGGAAACAAGAGCAGTGGAGACGTGTTCTCTGTGACAAACCGCGCTTCTCTGTCTGGCAGTCCGATGGACATGTCTGGGTTTGGCGATTGCCAGTAGAATGGTACTTGCCTGACTACACTGTCCCAAATGTAAAGTTTGGTTGAGGGGGGATTATGGTGTGGGCTTGTTTTTCAAGGGTTGGTCCCCTTAGTTCTAGTGAAGGGAACTCTTAAGGCGTCAGCATACCAAGACATTTTGGACAATTTCATGCTCCCAGCTGTGTGGGAACAGTTTGGGGATGGCCCCTTCCTGTTCCAACTTGACTCCACACCAGTGCACAAAGCAAGATCCATAAAGACATGGATGTGTGAGTTTGGGGTGGAGGAACTGGACTGGCATGCACAGATTCCTGATTTCAACACGACAGAACACCTTTGGGATGAATTAGAGCAGGGATTGCAAGCCACGCCTTCTCATCCGTCATCAGTGCCTGACCTCACTCATGCGCTTCTGGAATGGTCAAACATTCCCACAGACACACTCCTAAACTTTGTGGACAGCCTTCCCAGAAGATTTGAAGCTGTTAAAGCTGCAAAGGGTGGGCCAAGTCAATATTGAACCTTACGGACCAAGACTGGGATGCCATTAAAGTATATGTGCGTGTAAAGACAGGCGTCCTAATACTTTTGTTAATATTGTGTATGTTACTATGCTACTGGTCAGCAAGTGTTTCATTTTTTTTTTTTCCCCACTTATGTCTCAGAGTGAGTCTGAAGAGCTTAATCTGTTGGTGAGGTGAGGCTGTTTTTTTTTTTCTTAAAACCACTAGCCTACAGGGCACTAATACCCCCTTCCTGCCCAGACCAATTTCCAGCTTTCAGCGCTGTCACACTTTGAATGACAATTGCGAGGTCATGCAACACTGTACCCATATGAAATTTTTTTTAAAAAATTTGGTGACAGATAGAGCTTTATTTTGATGGTATTTAATCACCTCTGGGTTTTGAATTTTTTTTAAACCAAAAACCACTGAAAATTTTGGAAAACAAAAAAAAAGTTTCTTTGTTTTTGTTATAAAATTTTGTAAATAAGTGATTTTTCTCCTTCACTGATGTGCGCTAATGAGGCTGCAGTGATGGGCACTGTTAGGCTGCACTGATGAGGAGGCACTGGTAGGTGGCACTGATGGGCATTGACAGGCAGCACTGACTGGCACTGAAAGGCTGCTCAGATGGGCACTGATATGTGGCATTGATGTGCACTAGTAGGCACTGACAGCTGGGGCTATACAGATCATCAGTGCCCTGATGAACAGTGCACATGTCCCCTCTGAGGGATGCCGATTACCGGCCCAGCTCTCCTCTCGAGCTGTCAGCGTGACAGCTTGTGAGGAGAGAAATGCTGATAACCGGCATTTCCCTATTTACATGCGATAAGCTGTGATCGGACACCGCTGATCACATGACCGAGCCGACATCTTCGGCTCTTTCCGTTGATCCGCTGTGTCTGAGGGACACAGTGCACCACCGATCGCCGCGCGCTCCCAGAACCGCATATGCCTGGTTAGAATGGGACGACGTCATATGACGTCTTCCCAGAACGGGAGAACGGCCTTGCGCCTGTCATTACACTATATGGCTGGTGGGAGGTGGTTTAAGGAGTCTGGGGAGTAGCACTATTTGCCTAGTACTGATAAGAATAAGACTGGCTATGATAGAAGAAAAAAAAAAAAAAAAAGAGGCAGGTCCAGGAAAACAGAGTTAAGAGCACTCCCAGCCCTTAATGTACTCCTTTCAGGAATTAAGGACTTTTTCCCGAGAGCAAGGGTGAAACTGGTAAGGGGGCTGGAAAAACTCTTTAGCATTTTGACCAGTGTGCAAGATGCATGGAAAGATAGTAGGCAGAAGCAACATATGTCATATCCTTGAATGCTGGGCATTGTATATTGAAGCTTACAAATTCCAATGGACCTGCTCTCTCCTAAAGTAGCCAGAATAGTTCCAAGGCAGGAGGTCTGGGTAATTATTTATTCTTGCCTCCACAAATATATGGAAATAAAAATAGAAACCTTTTTTTTCTTTAACATTTTATTTATTACAGAAGATTGTAAACCCTTTGCTAGAAAGGACAAATCAGTTTACAAAACCATATTTCCATATAGATCATTCATTAAAATACTTCATTAAATGTGTAAAAGTAGCAGGCCATTGTCATAATTAAAAATTTATGTATAAAAATGCACAGTGCAGGCCCTTTAGGCTGGATTCACACTATTGTGTTGCAGCAAGGCACATTATACACAATTGTGCGCTGTGGTGCCATTCATTGTGAGTGGTACCACAACACACTATTATGCATTGTGGGCTGCTGTGCTTACTAAAAGAGGTGCTAGCACCAGAGGTGCTAGCACCATTTTTTTTGTGTGTTTTAGCAGCCAATTCCACTGAATCTGCTGCCTTTAAAAGTGAACTCCAAGCATAATGACCTGTTCCCTACAGTGACAAGGGGAAGTCCTACACACAGCAGTCTTCCTGAGAAATGATAACACTCCAGTTCCACTTGTTATCCATGGCAGGCTAAAGCTATAAATACAGAAATGGTATAGATGCTTACCTTATAATGGACCCAGACAAAGGCCTCATGCACACAAAGCATTAAAAACCATGTTTTTAGGTGTGGCTGGTGTTTTGTTGTGGGGTTTTTTTTTACTGCCTCTAAACACCCCTCCATGTTCATCTTGTCCATACAGGCATGGGTGTTTACAGGCAGAAGAAAAAAAAAACCCACTGCTAGTGCATCTAGGAGCAGCAGCGTTTTGTCAAAAAAAAACTCTGAAAAAAACACTTGACATGTCCAAAATACACATTAATAATAGGCGTATCATGTCCTTGAGGTCATTTATTTCAATGGTCACAATTTAAAAAAAAAAAAAATTATATATACAGTTGTGTTCAAAATAGTAGACATCACTGTTTTTGGTAGAAATTATATTTCTACATGGCAAATAATTTACTAGCAGGTGGGTGTAGTAGAGTAATAGAAATCCAACAGACCCAACAGTCATGACATGCATGCTGCTGATTCTGTGTAATTGAATCACTAATTGAAAGGGGCATGTTCAAAATAATAGCAGTGTGGAGTTCTATTAGTGAGGTCATTCATTCTTTGAAAAACAGGTGGCAATTATTGCTCTTATTTAAGGAAGGAAGGCAGCAAATGTTTGTACATGCTGGTTACAGTGCATTTCTCTCTAAAATTCTGAGGAAAATGGGTCGTTCCAGACATTGTTCAAAAGAACAGTGTACCTTGATTAAAAAGTTGATTGGAGAGGGGAAAAACATATAAAGAAGTGCAGAAAATGATAGGCTGCTCAGCTAAAATGATCACAAATGCTTTAAAACAGCAACCAAAACCTGAAAGATGTGGAAGAAAGAGAAAAAAACTACCATTCGAATGGATAGAAGAATAGCCAAAATGGCAAGGACTCAGCCAACAATCAGCTCCAGGAAGATCAAAGAAGGTCTAAAGTTACCTGTGAGTACTGTTACAATTGTACTAATTAGAAGACGCCTATGTGAAGCCAAGCTATCTGGAAGAAGCCCTCGCAAAGTCCCACTGTTGAAAAAAAGACGTGCTGAAGAGTTTACAATTTGCCAAAGAGCACATTGACTGGCCTAAAGAGAAATGGCGCAACATTTTGTGGACTGATGAAAGTAAAATTGTTCTTTTTGGGTCTAGTGGCCGAGACAGTTTGTCAGACGACCCCCAAACACTGAATTCAAGCCACAGTACACTGTGAAGACAGTGAAGCATGGTTGCGCAAGCATCATGATATGGGGATGTTTCTCATACTACAATGTTGGGCTTATTTATCGCATACCAGGGATCATGGATCAGTTTGAATACATCAGAATACTTGAAGAGGTCATGCTGCCTTATGCTGAAGAGGAAATGCTCTTGAAATGGGTGTTCCAACAAGACAGCGACCCCAAACACACCAGTAAATGTGCAACATCTTGCTTCCAGACCAACAAGATTGACTATGGAGTGGCCAGCCCAATTCCCAGATCTTAATCCAATAGAAAACTTGTGGAGTGACATCAAAAATGCAGTTTCTGAGGCAAAACCAAGAAATAGAGAAGAACTGTGGAATGTAGTCCAATCATCCTGGGCTGGAATACCTGTTCACAGGTGCCAGAAGTTGGTTGACTCCATGCAACACAGATATACAGCAGTTCTCAGAAACAGTGCTTATACAACTAAATATTAATTAAGTCATTCAAAGAAAAGCAAAATCTTCAAACATTTTTCAGTTTATATAGTGAATGTTTGAGTTTGTAAAGAAGAATACAAACACTGCTATTTTTTTGAACAGTCTAATATTCACTTTTCTTCAATTTGTTTAGAGGAACAATACAAATTTGATATATTTTTCGTCGTGTTTTGATTTGGAATAGAATGTGTGTATGGAAATAAAAGCTATTAGAAGGATTTTGAGCTTTATTCACTTTTTTCAACACACTGCTATTGTTTTGAACACAACTGTATATAAAATACCCAAGCGCTTGCCACACCTAAACACATTTAGATGCGTCAAGAGATGTTTTTTCCCTTGCCAAAATACCACTGCCAGGAAGCAGGTCATATAGGAGAGTTGGGCAAACATGAGACCTTAACATTAAGGTCCCCATTAACAATTATGGAGGCAGTAGGATCAGCATGAAACTTGCCTGTTCAACAGAGGAATGAGGTCTAACCATGTGCTGGCCACCTGTGTACTTGAGTGCGAATGTTGGCAAAACGTAATGAGTGCACAAATTAAGCCAGTACCCAAAAAGGGCTGCAGGCTACATAATCCAATACTAAAGTGAAACTGTTGAATGCCTTGTTGTGATAGACTGGTAGGAAACATGCCCATTCTAATAGGTCTTCCCAGCTTCCCTAAAAACAAACCTAAATCTTGCTTTAATCTGCTTAAAGGGTAAGTTCACCTTTGCAAACATGTTCCACCCTAAAAACAGGTGGAACATGCAACATGTTCCCACTGCTGCAACCTCTCCCCGACCCGCTGCGTCTAGTGACAGCAACACAGGGATCTTCTCCCTAAACTCGCGGTCACAATTTCACACAGCCACACCCTTCATTCATAGAGTTTTGTGAATGGGAGAACTACAAGTACTGACATGCTTTGCGGCTGTTGGCTCGTAGTTCTCAATGAACTACCAGGGCGCTGTTAAGCACAATGGGTAGTTCAATGTTTCTTCCTGTTATGTTACTGCCAGCCCGTAAGAGCAGACAGCTTACCATGACAGTCTGCAGGAGTCATGCATTACACCCGTGATCTACTGCTCATGGGTGAAATGCTTTGCAGGCACCTATTAAAAAAAATTAATTAAATATACTTTTTTTTTAACTGCAAAAAGATGTCCATGCATTTATTTATATTTTACAAAGATGAACTTACCCTTGGGAAAAATCACAAAGTTAGATGCAGATAGACTGAGATGGTGTCCAAAATCAGCTAGGGAGTTTCACGTTAATGGAAATTCCCCATATCTCTGCTAGTACTTACATAAAGCTTTTGTTTGAATATAAGGCAAAGTTTGTTTAAAAGAATCTCGCCATGAAATATAGGAGTTGTCAATACCTTGTTTTTGAAGGTGCAGCTTCCATGTCTGCCATACTGATCCTTGCTTCCCTACTTGGCAAGTCTCTGACTTTGAACAAATATGCACAAATCAGATGTCAGGGGCTTGCTTCAGATCAGTGACCAGCTAAGTAAGACTGAGGGGTAACGGCCCGCAGCTATATCTTTTTTAAGCAAGTAAGAAATGGCACCATCTATGATTCTCTTGAAAGCTGAACCTCAGGCAAACAGCTATACACACAGTTGCAATACCTAAATTGGCAACTATCTTACCTGCCAAAATATTTGTAATTGTATTCAGGGCACACCTCACTTTTATTCTGCTTGGAAAGAGATCTAGCTCAAGCCTGCTGCCTAGGCAATATAGTACACTGGTCAGGTCCTCCCCTTAACAAGTCCTCAGTGTTATACTGACAACCCTGTGCAATGCTTGTCTGGCTTACTACCCCTCACACTCTTTCCATAGCATGTAGGGGTCCACAGGAAGATAGTATGACAAAACTTCAGATACATGTACTAACTTTAGTTAATAGAAAAAAAAAAAAAAAACTGAATCTGTAAGCAAAGTTGATTAGGCACACACTGTTTGCACTTGCACTGCCAGGGCCCTTTTTTATACATTTAAATACATGTTTTAGGCCTGAAGAATTAGTTGAGAACCCCAAACATTTTCTGAAAACAAAAACCCTGGATTTAAAAAATGGGGAGGTCCAATTATTTATATCACATGACTATCAATTCAGGTGCAAATAATAATGCACTATATCACTATTTTTTAAAATATAAAAGTCAAGGTCACGTTGAATAAACAGATACCCAACATGTTAAGTCTTAAAACTATGAAACCAGTGAAATGACGATGAACTTCAATATGCA